AGGTGGGCCCAAGCGAATTACTTTTTCGGTGCTATTGCTGGTGCATGGGTCATTGCTCCACTTTTATATTATAACAATGTCTTGTAAGGGTTAAAATTTTCATTAAAAAATTTAAGAAATTATTTATAATTCTTAATCGTTTACTTATACAGTGAAGCACAGAAATTTCCATTCGTGGCTAGATATTCTTTGGATAAATATGGACAAAGGTAAATGGTTTATGGTTCGATATACGAAATTTGGCCATTAACTAATCATGATTTCCTTTTGTTATAGATATAATCAAACGGCAATCATCGACAATACCGGATCTTTAAACATCACGGCTTATGAGAATTATAGTCCAGTATATTTATCAGTTACCTTTGCCTTTTCTTATCTATATTCCTTCATTTTGATTACTTCAACCATCAGTCACGTATTCTTGTTTTATGGCAAAGAAATTTGGGAAAGGTTCAAAGCTAGTCGAGAAGAAGAAGAAGAAGATATTCATTGCAAGATGATGAGAATTTATCCAGGTATTAATTATTCAAACACATTAATGGATTAAAAACAAAATTGATTCCAACTTGAATCCTTTTTCTTTAGAAATTCCAAACACGTGGTATTTTCTAATCTTTGTCGTTATGTTATTAATTGCCATCACCCTTGGATATACAACGGAGGCGAATTTACCGTGGTGGGGGCTGCTTTTAGCTGTTGGGTTAGCAGCAATCTTTGTGCTTCCAATCGGTAAATTTTCTAAAACAGATAAAATCTTCTTATCGCAAATGACGCACTCGTATTTATTGTAATTTTTTTTAGGTGTAATTCAAGCGATCTCTTTTAATCAAGTTGGATTGAATGTGATATCTGAAATGATTTGTGGTTATATCCTTCCTGGCCGTCCTATAGCCAATGTTTACTTTAAATGTTATGGTTTCATGACAATGAGTCAATGTCTTCTCCTTGTTTCCGATCTCAAACTTGGTATTATATTATGAAGTTATCAATCTGACATACGCGTATTTTATGAATCATATCTATATTATCGTATTCTTTTGTTTAAGGTCATTATATGAAAATTCCTCCACGTTCTATGTTTGTTTCTCAAATATATGGTACAGTCATTGGAGGCATCATAAATTTTTGGGTTTTAAAACTTATCCTTATATCAAAACGACCATATCTTGACGGAACAATGGATGATCCAACCGGACAAGTGTGTCTTGTGTTTGATATTTCTTTCCAGTTTTTTTTTTTTTTTGTACTATAGAGAAAGTGAATCATTAAATCGCGTTTTCTTTTAAAAATAATAGTGGACAGGATTTAGATCACAAGTTTTTAATACGGCATCAATAGTATGGGGTTTGATTGGACCGGCAAGAACGTTTGGCGTAAGAAACATGATATTACTGATCCCACCTAACAAATACCACACTTACACAGTTCTCTCAATATTTTATTTAGTCTGATTCCATATATAACCCACTTTTATGGGGATTTTTAATTGGGTTCATTGCACCAGTTCCGTTTTATTTAGTACATCGAAAATTCCCAAACCTTAGGCTGGATTTAGTAAATATACCATTAATTTGTACTGGACTGCAATTACTTCCTGAAAATTATACAAACTTTATCATTATGGGAATTTTTGTAAGTTTTATGAGTCAGTTCTATGCCTATAGACACAACCATCGGTAAGTAGTATGTTACGAATATATTGTTATTTATTGTGAATATGTTCCTAAAATGATATAAATTTTATTTTATTTATTTTTCATATTTTAGATGGTGGAAAAAGTAAGCATTTTTTTGATGTTATACATTAATTCACAATTTTGCTTTTAACACTTTAAGTCTTTTCTCTTTAGATATAATTATGTACTCTCTGCTGCATTTGATAGCGCAGCACAAATTGTAACGATGATTATTTTCTTTTGTCTTAATGGTGTTATTTTGGTGAGACATAATTTAATACATCGACAAAAGGTATCGTTTACGTATATGCTAATTATATGAATTTTAATCTACAAAAGGCTCCGTTTCCGGAATGGTGGGGGAACGATCATGCAACTCAAGGTGAAAGATGTTTTGCTCAAGATAAATAAAAAATTAATAATTTAATGTAATGTTCGAAATGAACCGAAGGCCTAGTGCCTCAGTTTTCATAAAACCTTTCTAGATGGGATAGATCGAAATTTCGAATCGATATAAACCGGTTTCTTTTTTTATTAATAAATAAATTATTTATTTATATTTTTTTGCGTTTATACATTTAAAATTATATAAATCCAGTGTTTGTTCCCTTAATAATTTCCTTCGTAGAGCAGGTTTGAGAAAAAAGAATCGATTTGAGCTTTCGTTCGTATTATGACGATGTAAAATTGAACAATTTGTATTGGTAAAAAAAGGTGATACAGATGTCGCGCTGTCCGCCCGCTCAAAATTTGTCGATTCGTGGTTGGTCCCTTTCGTTACACTTGTGCTCCGGACTTGACCGAAACCATTCCCTATTACATATTTAAATCATATTCGATATACCACATATATTTTATTTCCCCTCCTGAACATTTTTAAAATACCTAAAAAAATTTTTAAAAATGGCAAAAAAGTCAGTAAAGGAGTGTGAAGTGGCAAAAGTAAAGTTGGACAAGTTAGAAAATAAGAAGGTCGAGGAAGAATACAAGATGGGATGGAAAAATAAGTTGAAAGATGACAACGAATGGAAAGAACAAGTGTTAGTAGAATTTAAAGTAGAAAAAGGTAATGAACGAATAAATTATTTCCATTCATTCCATTTCCATTTCATTTCGTTTATTTTAAATATTTACTTGAGCAATTTTTTGGTATATTGTATATAATTTTAACTTCTTTTCATGTTAAACAGGCGTAGAGAAGGTTCCAACTGGAATACTTCTGAATCAATTTATGCCTAGATACCATTCTAAGGTTTGAATTGTTTCATAATGTCTCTTCTCCAAATAATTGCTAAATCCTTTGTTAAATACTGATTAATACCATTATTTTTAGCTTGCATCCTAGGATGCAAGAAAGAAGATCGGAAAGAGAATTCTCTTGCCGAACCGAGAGGGGCGGTTTCGGACTACCAGAAAAAAGGTAGTCCGGAACCGGGATGCGCGAGGGAGATGGTTGGCAAATAGGTTTCCTCTCTTTTTTAACGTGCCCTTTGGTGATAATATATATGATTACTTATTAATTTTTAAATTAAGAACTTAATTTATATTTATTTATTTGTTTTTAATTATTTATGCTACTATATTTTATGTGAATAAAAATCTTATCCCTTCAATGGTATTGCAGCCAATTTGTTTGCCATTTTATTTGTTAACTTTAAACATTAAAAATTATTTATTAAAAAATAAAATTTATAACGTTTTTTTTAAAAAAAAAAAAAATATTATATTAATTTGTATTAATTTCATTTTTTTTTTTTTGATAAAAGTATAAAAACTATTTGTAATTTAGATATTATACAAAATATTAAAATATTAGAAATTAGAAATATAAAAAAAAAAATTTTTTTATCTAAATTTTTTTTATATAAGTTTAACTAAAAAGAAACTTACCATATCAAGAAATGTTGATCAAAATCACGTGTTTTGTATTTATTTTTTATTAATAAGATCATAAACTATTGTGACAAATAGACAGACCTATTCTTTTACCTAACCCTTCATTGTTCTCTCTCTCCAATTTCCGCTTTTTGTTCCTTAACTAAAATTACTATGTAATTATAGACAACTGAAAAAGCGGATAAAAAATATGAAAAAGGTAGTAATTTTAAACTGTTAATATCATCCCGCCAGCAAGTCACAAATTCATCAACTAATTTCATCTTCGCGTTACCTTTAAAATCAAGTTTATTAACAAGATCTTTTTTCGCTTTTTTTTAAATCCGTTATTATTAAACGATTTCTTCTTCGTAGGAGAGAGAGAACCTTTCACGTTTCCGTAAATACAATAATTCTTCCACACCATGAAATTTTCTTCGTGGTTACGAAAATCTGGTGTTATCGAGAGAAACATTAAGGATACTCTCGATTCAACCATAAATGAATTGTACGTCAATTGTCCGCTGGAGGCCACCAAAGAGTCGATACGTGCATCACTAATTGACATTATAAAAAGGGATAAAGCGTTCTCTGAAAAGTCACCAGCCCACACAAAAATATTCAACTGGTTCGAAAAAAATGTGACATCGTCATCTAAACAGTCCAAACAGTTCAAATCGACCGCAATATTCAAAAAAACACGGATACTTACACCTTCTATCGCTAATAATAAACACAACAGAAGCACCTCGCCTCCACCGGTAAAACAAGAGTTTTCATTCTCAAGCGACCGCCAGGCTGCAATTGTTGAACATTTTTACACATTCGTGGAAAACGAACTGTATAAATTCCTCGCCGAGAATGAAAATATCATTCCCGTAAAGGTTATAGAAAATTTTACCAAGAAAAAAAATCCCCCGATTAGCTCTGATTTCAGAGACGCTGATCTTTTAAGTTTGCTCAATTTTATTGTTGAACATATCAATATTTTTTTAAACAAATCGGTTTTCTACAGTCTATACAGGGCCAATCCTTCAAGGACTTCAAAGAGAACGTGCGACATAAAATGGCGCACAGAATTTTTATGAACGGAGAAGGTCGCTGGAGCGATCTTGCGCTCTAAAATGTCACTTATTTGTCATGTCATGTCGTTGCTTGGTAAATAATTTATTCTAACTTCACATTAGAGCGTTATATATACTGTATATTGATTTTTTTTTTCCATCTAACATCAGGGGACGCCAAGTAAAGATAAATATGTTGTGCGTCAGATGACTAATACTGGCCAAACCTTTTTAAGGCATTATAATATTGGCCCAAAATAGGCCCAATAATTTAGGCCAGTCAGCATCTGACGCAAATCGACATCTGACGCACAACATAGATAAAGAAATTGCTCAGAAATTGATGGAAAGGGCGGTTACGAAAGAGTCAAGACCACCAAAAAGAAAAATCAACGATAACTTTTGTAAAATGTTAGACGAGAAGACAAAGAAGGGGCAGAAGTAGGAGATTATGAAGATGACGTTAAAAGAGGATGAGCATTTGGTGCGGATTAGGGAAATAGTCATTACGCGGATAAGCAAGAAGAGCAAGTTCGCAAATTAATTAAGTTTGTGAACATGATGTTCAATATTGTGAGTATTCAAGTATTCGATGATTTATGATAAATCTATATGATGATTTAACCGATTGCTCTGTTTTATCCACAGAATTTAAAGGAAGTTGTGAATGACAATATGGAAGATTCAGATCTCAACAGTAATGGAGAGTAGTATGAGAGATGGGAAAAAAAGGCGACAATAATAAGCTGCCCATTTTATTGGATATATATAGGATTGAACGAATACCTTTTTTTGAAGAAATTAATTGGTCAATCACAAAAAATTCGAGTTAGATGAATATTAATAAAACTTGCTAAGAGAAAATCCTATTATGAATTAAGAGAATCTCTTCACCACACTGTATTTTGTCATTTAGCTAATCATTAATCTTGCAAATTGTTATTGTGAGCATACATTTTCCGAAATCCATGTGATGGATAGAAAGAATTTTTTTGCGAAGTAAAAAATAGTGCAAATATGGGAGATAAGCTATTAAAATCATGTTACGTATCATATGATTTACTATGTTTATAATTCAATTTTAATAGTAAACCTCACATATATATAGTTTTTGCACGTCGCAAAGCCCCTATTCCTTATAATCCAATGTAAAGTAATAAAATGAAATTTTAATCATTTTATTCTAACACGTGACAATTAGCCAATCATAAATGATACTATAAATTTCAGAGAAAACTTAACCTAAACCAGGAGGAAGTTTAGGATTATTATTCTAGACCGAGAGGTTCAGGTTTTTTAACCTAAACCTGTAACCTAATTCGGAAAAAGATTTATATTTCCATATATAGTAAATTCATTGATAAAAATTTGTTTCACATGTAGTTAGTTGTATACTAGCGGTATTCAAAATTGGTTGATACAGATTTTGCAAATTTCAAGAAATATGATTGGCTGAAATTTATATCAGATTTTACATCAAATGCATCAGTAAAATAGCAGGTGTAATTGATACAAAATTTTTAACGGCCCAAGTAGCCAATCACAAAATGTTTACTTAACCAAACTTGAAAATCCTTATTTTTTAAAAATATGATTTCATAAAAATACATTTTTTTTTTTTTTTTTTTTTCCTATTAATGTGCAATTGGCTTAAGAGAACATTAGGAGGAATACTTATTTATTAAGTAAAGTTACCCTCAATATGACCTTTTTAAGTCTCTGATTCTCAAGAGTACGGCAACCCAGCACTAGAAGCACATCCCTGTCAGTTGCCATCTAGTTAGACCACCTATAACAGCTATACCCGCAATTATAAGCTCACTAGACTGTCAGGTACTATCATCTTTTGGATAGAGGGTTTACTTCAACCATAAAGCTTGTCAAACCCTATTTTTACCAATCTAATTTATAGAGTTTTACCCTATTGATGATTACCGAGACCGTGGGATCAAATTCTTTGTATAGATGATGGTTTTGTACCCATAACGTCAAATTCACCTGGGAATCGAACCCAGTCTCTACCCCTAGTGATAGTTCGATTAGATAGTGCTGCAGCGTGCAATGCAGTCTATTATCACCATAACCTATCTGAAGGAGGTACCCAATCTACTAATTACTGGTTAACCACTTCCTTAATTGTATAAGAGCTCCTGAATTTGAAGACGTGAGATAGTATCTATTACAAACCTGTCAGCGAAGGCCAAGTTTCTGTCGATCCCTGGCTTCATTTGCATCTACTTGTTCTTTAAACCCAGTATTTAGGCATGATTAACGTCAACTGACAGATCAATCGACCAATATCTAACGTTTATTAGTCTAAACACTCACGTGTTTAGTTATATATGAAATTCTTAATTTCATAAAAATACATCAAAATATGCATCAATTTTATTCAATTTTGTGTACTAAAAAAATAATAATTGATTGATTAATACAAAGTGTATCAAATTTTGCATCAACTAATTTTGAATACCCCTACTGTTTATTTGTTTCATGCAGTAAATTTTCTTCAGATAAAAGTTACTCCATTTGTAATAAAATTTTTTGTCTCTATTATATATAAAAAAAATGACTAATACCATTCAAAAGTTATGATGACTTTGTTAATAAAGTCAAAAATTATGCATATAAACTTGGCTTTATTATTAGACTTGAAAAAGTTAAATATTCAAATATTACAAAAAACAAAAAAGAAATTATTACAGAAAAAAAGTTTTGAAAAAAAACATTATTATATTTTCAGGCTGATTATTCTAAATTAAAAGAATATAACTTAGAAGATAAAAATTTAAGCAACAAAAAATAAAATTAAAAGTCTCAATGTTGTAGTTACTCTTTTTTTTTTGTACTTCTCTAATAATTCAAATGGAATATGATATATTATCAGTATGGATTATATATATAATCATCAAATAGTTGATGAAAATCATTGATTTTTCATATATGGGTTGATTGCTAGAAAAATCAGGTTCCGAAAATTTTTTAGCAAAATTGAGATTTTTATTGCATTTTAGTTTTTGATGTTATTAGATTAAAATGTATTAAGCTCTTTATTTTAGTCAAAAATTTCTCGGAACCTGATTTTCCTAGAAACACTCCCATATAATGAATAAAATATTTCTGATAATATTAAATAGAAAATTAAATTATTATGTCATACTAATGTAAATATACCTACTATTTGTATTATTTTAAAAAAAGAATTTGGTAATTATATTACATAGGTATATAATGATATTTATAATTTTATTTATTAATTAAAAGGTTTTAGATCTAAAAAAAAAGAGTTTAATACTGAAGAATATTAAAGTAGTTTAAGTATAATAATAAAAACTTTTATTATTATACTGATATTAATAATGATATAAAAAGATTAGAATATGTAATATAAATGTTTTCTAAGCAGTTTATGAATTACAGTATATTTAATGATATAGTAATATTTAATAATACTTATAAAACTAATCAATTTCAAATGCTATTTATTATAGACATAGTATATATTTTGTCAATGTATTAATGATTGATTAAACTGAAGATAAATTTATATAGGTATTTAGTAAATTTCTTGAAAAAATTAATTAACATGTGCTATTAGTTATTCTTACTAATAATAATTATGCAATTGCAAATACTTATACAAAAATTTTATAACTAATTAGTACAAAATACTATTATATTAATAGTATTTAATGAAAAATGTAATAAAATTTTATGTGTAAAACTTGGTTTAAATTAATAGCATTTATTAAGAAAATTTATAGATAGTTTAGTAGAATGAATATTTCAAATTTTCTTTCTTAATGAGATTTACTTAAAATATTTTATCTATCTATATTAGTTTATTTATCACGTATGCAAAAAATAAAAGAAAAATAGATTATATATTATAATCATAATGTATTTATAGTAGATATAAATATAACTCAATATAAAGAATTTATGAATAATATGATAAAAGATTACTTAGATACAAGCATATTATTTGTAATATTTATTATTACATTTTAATCAATATTAGATACACAAAATAAAAAACAAAACTCTATGTCCTAAACCTTAACTTTGCTATAAGGCTATAGTGAAGATTTTAAGAGATTTGATTAGCCAATTTACTATAAAAAGAGTATATTTATTATATTTATTCAAATAATTCATTATATCAAGAGTTTGCTATATTAAGAGTTGACTGTATCAACAAAATAATTTAATATTATATATAAAATAATAAGTCTGCTAAAATGTTAATCTGTATCTAATTTAACTATTTTTCACTAAAAAATATTTAAAAATTAATGTATTTATTTATGTATAAGTGTAAAGAAATTTCAGAGTAATATATTTTAATATAATTTTATAATTAGTAATTAAATATTATATATTTTATTTAATTTTTTTTAAAATATATATATAAACAAACAAATATATTAATAATTTTACAATAAGAATAATTATTAACATTTTTTAATAATATTCAAATTATCAATAATAATCAAAACAAAAATTTATATATATTATAATATAAATTTTATATTATCATTAACCAATTATAATTTTAAAATTATTGTATATATAATATATTTATCTTTTTTAACTATTTAAAAATTATTTATAAATTCAAAAAAAAAAAAAAATAGTAATTTTAAAAAAAATAAAAAATAATATTTAATTATTTTTTATTAATATTTTTTATTATTTAAAATTTTATTTTTAATAAATCAATATTATTATTTTTATTACTTTTTATCAAATAAAAATATAAAATATATCTTTTAAAAGTAATTACTTTTATATATTTTTAAAATAATTTAGTTTTAAATTTTAAAAGATTAAATAATTAAAATAATTAAAAAAAAAATTAAAAAAAAAATTACTTATTATTAACTTCTTACAAAATATCTAAGAATTCACAAATTATCTTTAATAGTATTTATCTTTATTAAATATATTCATAATATAAAAACAATTATCAAATGATCTAACAGCTTTCAGAGATTTTAA